GGCTGCCTCGCATACGTCTGCACCTTCTGTGTCAATACGCTGAGACAACTCGCAAGCACACGGAGCTCTGGAATACCGTCACATTCTACCTTGGGACACAGACGGCGCCGACCGAGCTGATACGCCACCTCGCAAGGTCCGCCGTCTGATACGCCACCTCCCGAGGTCCGCAGCACAGCAAGCGATACTCCCACACAGCTGCGGATCGCCTCCAAAAGCTGAATTGTGTGACAACGCGTCGATACTAGCCCAGGCCGGACACGCGAAACGTTTGCCCGCACAGGCGTGCACCACCGGGTCGTGCGGTACTTGCCGACGATACGCCGCCAGCATGTCTGGTTGCTCCGACGTGCTGCGGTCCTGATATACACGATTCGAGAAATACTCGTCATTAAAGAAGAACGAGCCGCAGGCCTCGCAAGCGGACCAACTCCCGTAGCACACCCAGAACGCAAAATCCGTCAAATTATACTGCTTATGGTAGGTGGCCTGGATACTGGTGAGTAATGACATGGACCAAGACTGTCGCTGAAATACCTCCTGGCACTTCAACATGGCATACGCAGCAACAAGACAAGCGTCCGCCGCCATTTTCGGGAATACTATGCAACGGTCAGCTGTCGCCACGCTGCAAGCTCTCGCATACCAGCCGTGCTCTGTGTCGGAGATACACGCGTGCGCAGTCCTGGGCAGCACCTGGCCCTGGAAGGTCTTCTCGTAGGCCTCCAACACAGGGCCTGGCAGCACATCCTTGTATACGAAGGCATCCGGATACTCGAGAGCCAACCTGGCATGCCGTTCGTGTTCTCCAAAAAATACCGCAAGATTGTGCAAAGGCACCAACTCTTCCGCCACGCCCAAGCGCTCACATAAGGATATACGCACAGTCTCCAGAGCAGATCTGGCCCGGGCGCGCAGAGAGGGAGCAACCCCCCGGGTGTGCCCGAGCTTGCTATCCAGAGAGACGAAGGAATACAAGAACTCCCACTCGTGCTGCTCCAGGTGGTCGCTGGTCCAGTATTCGCCACGCTGCTCGCGATAGCGACGATGCGCTATGAGCCGCTGCGTGGTCCTGCAATCAACGAGATACTGCGCCAATAACTGCTTTTTCACCTCCTCGGCCGAGACGCCCTTCTGCAGCTGCTCCAGGACAAACTCCCCGCATACGTGGCGATGTATGTCCTCAGCATTCTCCAGTAGTGCCAGCTGCTGAGAGGGCGCCTTCAGCCACGTCTGAAGATTCCCGCAATGGGCAAATACCCCGGTCTCCGCGCGATACTTGTCCACCAGCGCTCGCCCCCTCAAGCCTTCTACGTGATGCCAGTACTGGAGGTCCCTGCGCGACAGCGCGTAGACGGCGGAATTGCCGTGTTTGGCACCGTCTCCGAGGCGATACCTGGCAAACCACTCTCGACAGACATTCTGACCCGTCTCATACCCCCAGGCCTTCAGACGCACCTGCATATTCCGGTAGTCGAGGCCAAGGCCCAGGTCGGAGACCTCCTCTCGATACCGCTTGCCGCATGCCGCCTCTAGAGCCTCCACCGTCATCAGCGTCATACGAACCACATCTGTGGAGGAAGAAGCTGCCGTGGCCTGCTGCTTGGATACGGGCTCCTCCCAGTCGACCGCGGCAGGCCGTTTGGCCACGCGGGCAGATCCGGCGGCGGCTGGCCGTTTCAATACACCGCCTGCGACCTGTGCCGCCGGGCGCTTCAATACACGCTTGGTGACGGCCTGGGCGGATGAAGCCGCCGCCTGCACTGAAGAGCTCACCGACGCATACGCATCGCACCACTGTCTCAACACTCCTCGGGACACCAAGACAGCTTTCCGTCGCATACGCAACACGGCATGCAAGGTGTGGTACTTCAGCCCTGGATATACCGCGCGCATGTGGTCACCAAGTGCCGCGTCGAGCTTTTCAGCCGTGTCATACTGCAAAGGTCCGGAGTCAGGGTGATACTTCACGTACCATTGCCTCAAAACCATACCGCTGACAGCGACGGGAGGGTCGCTCTCCGAGAGAATCTGCGAGAGGACCTCCGCGGCGGCCTCGTCGGCGAAGCTCTCCCGATACTGATTGAGTCGAAGACGCTGGCCTATACATTCCTCCACAGCTTGGGCAGTATTCAATGCTCCCTTGGCGCCCCACTCCGTGCTGAGCCACTTCTGACATACCCTGGCGTCAGCAGATACAGATAAATGTCCCAGGAGCCACTGCTTCAAGACGGCCCCGTCAGTAGTCCCCTCGGGCATGTCTGTGCGAATACGTTCTCCATACCAGGTCTCCAGATGGCCAGCGTTCTGCACTTTGACAAGCGTCTCTTTGGAAGAATACTGCAGTAGCCACATCTTTGCGACCCAATCTGTCACATACAGTGGTGGATCCAACTGTCGGAGCGCCCCGCATAATTTGAAAGGTGTATTATACTCGATGCCCAGGTGGCGGATGGCAGAACCGTGCTGCTCCTCCAGCTCCTGGGCGCTAGAAATACTAACCTTGCCAGGCACAACCCGATACTTGCCCCACCAAGTCTTGCACGCCTGGTGACTGATCTGGATACCCTTTGCAACGAGCGCCTGATGCAAATAATACGGGCTCTCGCAGTCGGCCAAGGGAGGCCGCGACAGCTCCGGGCCATACTGCTCGTCAAGGGCTTTCGCCGTCAAAGCCATGGACCATCCAAGAACACAGGCGATACCTTGATCCGAGATGGCTACGGATGTGCCAGTGATCAGTCGGAGGCTTCCTGGGGCCGCTTGGGGTCCTCTTGGGGAAGGAGGGAAGCCTCCTGGCGCCGCTTGGGGTCCTCTTGAAGGGTTTTGGGGGGCTTCTTGGAACCATCTTGGGGCCTCTTGGGGGCTTATTGGATCCTCACGGCGGGCTCTTGGGGCCTCTTGAAGGCCTCCTGGGGCAACCTATGGCGCAACCAGTAGGGGGACGTTTTATTCTCGGCGGCCGAGGGCGCAACCTATGACGCAACCAATAGGGGGGCGTTTTATTCTCGGCGGCCGAGGGCGCAACATATGGCGCAACCGCAAGGGATTCTGGCCCCTGGCAGGCGCGCGAACCCCGTTGCAAAGATGCGAAAGTAGCTCGCGCGAGCTCATGTAACATAAATGTTGGAAAACCATTGGTTTTTTGAGAACGGACAGCGCGCGCGGGTGGAAATTTTGAAAAGTCGTGCAGGTGTTTTTCGAGGACCTACGGTGCGATTCGTGTGATTTTATGATGCGCGGTGCTAAAATTCTTAAAAACCCAATGATTTTTGGAGATTTCGGCGTGCGCGCGCGAAGAAAAAACGAATATGTCCCGCATGGTATTATTTGACAGGGATGATGGCCCTGGCAGGTGCGCAAACGTTGTCGCAGAAGTTCGAAAAAGTTGCTCGCAAAAGCCCGTTTGACAGAATTGTTTAAAAAGTGTTGGTTTTCCTACGAATCCGCAAGAGCGCGCGGAAGAACATTTTGACAATTTTTTCTTAAAAAACCATTGGGTTTTTGATGTTTTTATGTTAAAATCGCTACGAAACCTAAGGTTTTGGAAGGATTTCGTCTTGCGCGCACGAATGTCCACTTTACCTTATTTTTTGCAAGGGATTCTTGCAATTTGATCAAGTAAGAACAAGAATTTTCATTTTATAGTGTTTTTTGCAAGGGAAAACGGAGTACAACAAAACAACCGGATCCGGTAATAATTCACTTTTCTGAAGCTTTCGCTAAAAAATGATGAAAATGTAGCTGCGGCCTAGGTTTTGGAGGGGGGTCGCGCACCAGGGGTCCCAACAATAATTATTCTTTAGAAGTAATAATGTTCAACAACAACCACAATAACAACAACAACAACAACACCAACAACCATTTTAAGGCTGTGCGCTCTTACTTGCCCGAGAGTCATTCAACACGTATACCCTACACCCTCGAAGCCCGCCCTCTTCGTCTTCGATCACACTCCTCTCGGGGGGATTATTTATCTTTGCTGGGGCCGGCGGGCTTAGACGTACGGGCAAACCGGAACGGGCGGACAATCCTTCGGGGGCGTACATCTCTCTGCCCGCCATTGGAATTGGCGCGGGCCCTGCAAGAGGAGGAGGGGAAGAACGAGGGAGAGTGGGAGGAAGGGGAGGGGGAAGGACGAAGGAAGAGGGAAGATACCACGTTGTGAAGGCGTCCTTGGCGCGTGCGTGGTTCCTGAGCGCCGAAACGCAATTCCAGAATAATTTGTGAGGACGTCGCACGCGAGAGCGCAGTCCTGAGTACATTGTGAGGAAATCTCGGGCGGAAGCGGGGGCCCTGACTAAGTTGCGAGGAAGTCTCAAGCGGGAGCGCCGTTCCTGAGCAAATTGCACGGAGGTCTCAGGCGGGAGCGGGGGTCCTCACTAAATTGCGAGGAAGTCTCAGGCGGGAGCGCCGTTCCTGAGTCAATTGCGCGGAAATGTCAAGCAGGAGCGGGGGTCCTGAGTAAAATTCCAAGAAGTCTCAAGCGGGAGCGCCGTTCCCACGTAAATTGCATGGAAGTCTCAGGCGGGAGCGGGGGTCTTGATTACATTGCGAGGAAGTCTCAGATGGGAACGCCTTTCCTGAGTAAATTGCGCGGAAGTCTCAGGCGGGAGCGGGGGTCCTGAGTAAAAATCGAGGAAGTCTCAGGCGGGAGCCGTTGTTGTTGTAGACCGGGGGGCAGGGGCACAGTTTAAGCAGGAAGACTTTCCTTAAGAAAAAACAAGGTGCGAGCCCCGGGGGTGGCACTTCAATCGAAAAATCAATGTGCACCGGTGGGGGGGGATCAACAATAATTATTCTTCAAGAATGAGAGTTCAACAAAAACGGACCTCCGGGTGCAAGCGGACGCGGTGGAATCCCCCAGCTGTGGGCATCCCACTATATCCCAATCGTGCACTTGTCCGTCGGCAGGGTGAGCAGAGCCGCGGGATGAAAGAAAATATCACGTCTGGCGAAGGCACGCCAATGAAAGAAGAGATCGCGTCTGGCGGAAGCACCTGCGCATGCGGAGTCATCGCTTTCGCCTTGTCGACAACGCCTCGGACCGATATGAGAACAGAGCGAACAGCAGCAGCAACCGCAGCAGCAGCAGCAGCAGCAGCAGCAGCTGCGGCGGCAGCAGTGACATGCGGATCAACTCATGTCAGGACCACGCCGTTGGCCACTTTAGGGAAACGCGTGGCTCCAGATCGAGACCGCCGTTTTCGATACCCTCTGGGTGGCCTGGACACGCGAAAACACGCGGGTCCAGCTCGGGGCAACCGTGTGAGGTACCGCCCTTGGTGGCCTGAAAACCTAACAACACGTGGTTCCAGCGAGGGCCCGGCATGCAAGGTATCCCACAGGGGTGGCCTGGACACGTGAAAGCACGTGGTCTCTCAATTCCAAATGTCGGAGGACTGCGCTAAATCCAAAACGCCCTAGTGAGCCCCACTTCTGGGCTAAATCGAGCCAGAATACCTCACAGGCTTCATTTCTGAACAAAGCCGGGCCGAAACACGACAGTGAGCTCACTGGGACCGTTCTGCCGGACCGCCGCCTGGCCTGGGAGACGCCTCCCCCCGACTCCGCCTGCTTACCGTCGCTCGGACGTCCAATTCCCGTGCATTTGTCGGTTTCGTGCGTGTGTTTTTTTGCTCGATGGTCCAGGATGGTCCTCGATGGTTCTCGCCAAGAAAAAATACACACGTCCGAGCGATGCCAAGCCTGTGGAGATTCGGATGAGGGGAACCACTCACTCTGTTCGAACCCCATAGCGAAACGCTATAAAGGGAAAGTCGCGCTCCACATCCAGCCGCATCGCCGATGCGGAGCGACACTCTGGCCCCATCTACTCTTACCCCATCTGGGAGGCCTAGATCCCGAGAGCTGGAAACAGTCGAGCCTAGGCCAACCTAACACCCCTCATGAAAGCAAGGCCCTCCGTCGGCGCAAAAAGCACACAGAACATCCGAGGGGTCACCCTCCCCCAGGACGCAACAAAAGCTTCCAACGAACACGAAGAACACTGGGGTGCCCTCCCCGAGCCGACCTCAATCTCACACCTGGAAGACGCCTAGATGGGGTCCGAGTAGATGGGGTCGGAAAATCGCGCCGTATCGCCAATGCATCGCAGATGCTTCGTCGATGCATCGGCGACGTCGGCGTGGAGAAAATCGGGCCCCCCATCGGCGATGCGGCGCGAACCTCCGGCCCCGATCTACTCGGAGCCGATCCAGGAGGCCTAGAACACCTCGACTGAAAGGCCTACCTCGGACTGGCCGCACTCGCACCCCATCTGAGTAGAAGAATCGAAAACCACAAAAACATAAACCTTCGGCGCTCCGCGCGGATTTCTTGGATTCGCGCCTGGGCCCCCCAGGCGGCGCCGGGGTCGCCAGCTCACGGCACGACGCGAACCTATCGTACCTCTTCCTCCTCTTATAGACACCTCCTAGTTGAGGTCGCAGTAGATGGGGTCGGAGGATCGCGCCGCATCGCCGATACATCAGCGATGCATTGGCGATGTAACGGCGATGCATCGGCGATGCATCTTTCCTGGTGCCCCGACGGGGGGGGGATCCCGGGGGAGGAGGGGGTCAGATTCGCCTCCTCCTCCTCTTCCTCCTCCTCCTCCTCCTCCTCCATCTCCTCCTCCTCCTCCTCCTCCTCCCCCCCCTTCTCTGTGTCTGCACCTGTTCCGCCTCATCTGTGTCGTCTTCCCCCTCCTCCCGAAGCGCCTTCCCCATCATCTTCTTCTCCGAGGTCAACGCCGTCGTCTCCAGGGTCGGCGGCACCAGCCGTAAGGCCTTCCCAATCGGGCTCCACATCGAGCCGCCTCGGCGATGCATCGGTGATGCCGGGCGATCCTCCAACCCAATATACTCCGACCCCATCTGGGAGCCCTAGATCTTGACTTTCTCCCTGCGCCCCGAGGCTCCTTGCGTGGGCAGATGAATTGTCATAACGTCGACCCCCAAGAGGTCTCGAACCAATCCCCGGGACCGGTTTTTCGTCCCGAATCGTTTTTTGACGGTGCCGAGGACCGGCAAGGGCACCCAGAGGCCGAACATAGGGGAGCACAAAAAAAGGTCGTGATTTGTTCCTTGCTCGAGTGCTCGAGGGGTTATGGGCTCGTCCTCCTTTTGATCTCCTCCCTGCGCCCCGAGGCTCCTGGCGTGGGCGGACCGCGTCGGGCCGGTTCTCCGCAGAGAGCGCGTCGAACACGGCGGGCGACGTGGCAGTCCGGGGCGCCCGGCGCGGGGCGTCGACGCAGATCCCCAGCATGCCCGCGGTGCGGCCTCCGGACCCGCCGCACTCCTGTGCACAACAGGGGACTTGGAGCGTGAATTACCTACCCCGCTTTCGCTTCCAGGCAAAACCAAGTCATACCACGCGCCTCCTCGTCAAGCGGCCTGACCAGTACAGGCCGTAGTTTGGCATCGCTTGGTATCTCTTGGAAGCGAGGGTGGTCAAAAGCGGGGTAGGTTTGTTCGCCCCCTAGGGACACCTCGACCCCTATCCCAGGCTTCGTGGGGGCTTCGCATGGCCCAGCAATCTGGGGCCCAGCCCTGGGATGTACGATGGGAGGGGCGCCCATCCTCGATAGGGGTGACGTCCGAATAGCCCCCCTGGGTTGTTGTTCCCAGCGTACTGAAGGAGCAAAACCCAGAAATAATTTCGAGCCCCCAGAAAAGCATCGAAACAGTGTCCAACGATTGCCGCCTCCCAGGGCCCGACATGTGACCCCCCTCCAATTTCGGTACTTTCTTGGTGCTCCAAAAATAAATAGGTTGGAACATCATAACCCTTGGGGTGTATCCCATTGTTTCCCCCTTTTTATGAGCGGCCAAACTTTTCGGGCTGAGCTCGGGGATTGGGGGATAAAACTCGGCTGCGAGTGCAGGAGCACACCCTTGGCACGCCCGACCCAGACCCCCTCGAGCGAAGACAGAAGTCAGGAGCGTGTTTTTTGTTTGTTCTCCCAACTTCTTTCGGCCTTTGGGTGTCCTTGCCGGGCCTCGGGGCCCTCAACCAACAATTCGGGACGAAAAACCGGTCCCGGGGAATGGGTCGAGATTCACTTCGGCCATTGGGTCAGCATTGCATGGAAGGCCAGAACGGCAGCAAGTAGGAGTAGCAAGCAGGTGAAGCATGGTCGCATCTGGAGTGGGCGATTTGCCGTCAATTCCTCAGTTGACTCCGAAGGGCAATCGGGTCGTTCTAAGCGGTCAGACATACCCAAACCATGTCTCCAGAAACGCTACTGCATTGTGCAATTCAACGCAATGCAACTCATTGTGCAAGGCAATGTGCAATCCCATGCACTGCCATGCGCTATGGAGCGCGCTATGCAATGCAACGCAAGGCTATGCGTTATGGCGTGCAGCATTATGATGATGTGATGTGGCATAACACGTCAGGTAACCGACTGCGATTCATGCCATACTGAACGAGAGCGGTGGCCCCCAGCCACAAAAAGGAGGGCGGCAGTAGAACGAGGAGACGCCATAATGCATGAGCGACAGGAGGCAAAGAAAGGGAACGAGCCAAGGAGGTGCGCAAGGCGCACTCCCCACCAATCCTTTGGCGAAGTCTCAAAACTTCTCCTTCACTGCTACGCGCTGCTCGTTCCTCCCCCATCCTCTCTCACCGCCTCCCTCTCCCTTCTCCTCCTCCATCTCCCGATGCTCCTCCCTCTCCTCCGCCACCTCCTTTGCCCCCTCCCCCTCCGTTCTCCGACCCCCAACTCCTGATCCCCACTCCTTCCGTCATCCGTCTCTTCCGCCTTATTTATCTTTCCCGTGTACACCCCGTCTGCGTCGCGTTTTGCGGCCCAGCTGCCAGCGCCAAAGAGGGATGTGAGGACGTGGGGTGTCTGGGATGGGTCAGTTCTTCACTTCCCCCCTTCACCTCCCTTGAATTACCAGCCCATTTCCCCAACACCCTTATCGGATTACCCCAGACATGAGCATCTCGCCCTCTCCCCCTCCCCACCCCACGCCCAGTCCGCATGCGGACCCTCGTCCGCCCCCCGCGTGCACGGGGGTCCGACTACAGGGGCGCATTCGGAGCCCTTGTTGGGGGGGTCCCCTGAGAGCCCCAGGAAGCCTTTGATTGGGGGCAAGGCAATCCGCGAACAGACTTCAAGAGGGCCTCGGGAAGCTACCCAGTGGATGCTACAGGGGGTCCATTTTGTTGCAGCATTTGTCTGCTGCCCTCCTGGAGTCCATCTTGAGCGCTCTCTTCGAGCCGTATGCCCGTCGCCGCCATTGCCCTCACTCCTTTTCTCATCCCCCATCGAGCCTGTCGCCCCATCCGTCCCCCCGCCCCGTTCCCACCCCCACTCTTACACGACGCTGGGAGGAGAATGGTAAGGAGGAAGAGCAGGAGGAAGAAGCGCCGACAACTCGGCCTCCCGAGTTCGGCCTGAACACATCATCCCGCCGACAGGCAGGTCAACCCACTATCCACCCTAGAGGTGCTTGCATCCCGTTTCGCGCTGTGAGGGCGGTGCGGATGATGGTGGTGGTGATGGTGGTTGTGGTTATGATAGTGATGATGGTGTTGATGGCAACGGGGACGAAGGATATTAAGGGAGAAACTGATGTGAACTATAACACCAACCCTGTGTGTAATGAAAATGCTAATGCACCCGTACCCAGCGAACCATCGGGATGCACTTCTCAACACGCACTGGCGGCCAGTGCGCATGCGAGATCACGCGATCATACCCACTTGCTTCGGTCGACGGCTTGACGCATAGCCAGGCTTCGGCAACACCCCCAGAAGACCGCCCTGGATGCCTGGGGGGGGAGACCCCCGCTTGGCCCTATGACCTACACATCGATTTACGTCACGCCGTCGACGGAAACCAGTGATATGACTAAACCTGGGGGGCACTCTGCCCCAACTCCCTAAATTGCAAAATGCATTCTAACGAGCCCGCTTCGTGCCGCTGAGACGCGCGAGCCTGGGCCTCTTGGCAGCTGGCGCCTGGGACAGGCCCGTCGCCTCCCCCCCCAGGGGAGAGGCTGCAGTGGACGCCGAGGCGGGGCTCTGAGACAATGCCGACATCGTCCCCGCCGAAGTCGAAATTGCCGACGAACTCCCGCTCCTCCGAAGGCTGCCTGTGGCTGGCGACGCTGGTGTGCCGACCGCCCCCTCTCGCTTGACCACGGCGTGCCCGTCGCTGAAGACCGTTGCAGAACCGTCCACGATGCATTTCAGCTCGCTCCAGAAGGCGTCGGGCAACTGCACTTTCTTCTTCTCTTGATGCTCCTTGATGAAGCTGGACGCTTTCGTCGACGCACTTGGGCCCTGTGACTGGAACCTCAGCAAGTTGACGCCCTGGATGAGCACCGTCGCCTGGTAGAACTTCGCCAGGAGCGCCGACGCCACAGCGCATCCAGACGACGTAGTTGGATGCTTGTCCACTGGCGGCGACAGCTCAATGCGTTTTGAAATCACCGAAACTTTGCCCAGCACTTGGTATATGCGGTTGTAGCTGGCCACGGTGGGAGGCAACTTCTCGTCCAGCAGGTCGATCGCCATCTTCATGTTGAGCACTCCGTCCTTGAAGATCGACTCCCACTGTGGCATCGTCGACTGGCACTCGGAGACCACGGCGGATAGGTATGTCATGCGATGCGCCATAACAGCATCGCGGCACCCCCCAGCAAAAGAAGCCATCTGCAGGGCCCAACGGCCCAACGATTACAAGGGGATTCGCAAGCTCCATCCATCTCTCTCAAGCGACCTCCCAGCGTCGGCGTTGACCAAGTCGTCGATCACCTTCGCACGAGAAAACATGAGCACCAGCGCATTGACCTGGATGTTGCAAGACGGATGGGGTTCGATGCTCTTCTCAAACATCTCCTTACGCTCGGCGGTCGGGTCGATGAGGTAGTGCTGGAGCACCGTGGCCAGCATGAACTGGTCCCTCACAGCGCACATGACGTCAAACACATATGTCGCGATGTGCATTGGCACTGGCCAGTCCTCGCCCTTTCGGGGGTCCCGAGACAGCAACGAAACGCACTGGCCCCTGCTTACCTTGCCCCGTCCCCTCTACCGTCTCCCTAGGCCAGTCGTTTAGAAAGTTACCACTGAGGGACTGTTAGTGCGTGCCCGTTGCCCTCGCCCCCTGACCTGGCGACCATCTGCCAACACGGCGCCGCAAGTGCGCATCTCAGTCATGCTCGTCGCTTCGGCGAAGTCCTTCAATGCAGTCAGCGCCTTGTTGTGGGTGAAGCTTTCGAGCATTGTGTCAGAGTCGGCCGTCGTCTGCAGCGCCTCCACGACTTCGGAAGGCAAGGGGTCGTCGGCACCTGGCTTGCGAACGAGGCGCCCTAGGATCTGAGCATCGAGGGTTGACACCAACACGTCATCCTGGACCGCACCGATCTCGAGGTCGCTGAAAGCCAACATATTGACCACGCGGGGGGCAAGCCAGACGGCCGCTGCATGCTGGTAGGTAATGTCGCCGAAGTTGGCCTTGAAGATCATGAAAGCCTCGCTGATGGAGTGAAAGACGTTCGCGTCTTGCACGGTGCTTTCGCCATGGAACAGAATCGCATTGACGCCCTCTAGCTGGTGTTGCAGGCGGGACAGGTTGATCGTGTGCTCCTTGGTCTTTGGATTGGTGGTGGTTGCATCGAATAGCGCATCGGACCCCCCATCAACAAACACGGGTAAGAGCTCCACGACCGCGCCCATGTAGTCCATCATATCTTTGAGGTTCTGACGGTTGTCCTCGAGCGTTGCCAACAGCACCTTCGCACACCCGATCTCGCCCAGCTTCTCGGCGAGCTCCACGTCACTGGTCCTCTTGGTCAAGGCCTCGGCGCACTTCGTCGTTCCGAGTACCATCGTCTGAAGCGCCTTGTAGAACTCCTCCGATTGGAGCCTGGTCGCGTGCAAGTCCCCCAGCGCAGCGATGACTTTCGACGCTTGTGACACTGCTGCAAAGCCAGCACCGCCCTGCTCGACGATGCTCTCTGAGACTTCTACAACCGCACCTTGGGTTTCTGGTTTCGCTGCTGCTGCGCCTCCGACTGCAACCGATTCGACGGGCACACGCAGGAATTCATCGCGTCCCTCTCCGGCCTTGGTGGCGCCGATCTCGTCCAGGACCCGAGCCAGAGGGCGAGACACGGTCTTGTGAAACACCGAAACGAGACCGTATACACCATTGCTCAGCAGCTCCATGAAGTTCCCCATCGCGGCGCAGACGGGCTCAATATTATCCTTCAGCGCAGCGGGTGACCACCTCGATGCACAGGAGATGATGCTCGTCTGGATGTCGATAATGGGCTTGA